GGCCACGCTCCCCAAGCCCCGCGCCTACGGCGGCGAGCTCTATGGCCCTGGCAGGCCGCTGAGCCCGCGGCGCGCCTTCGAGGGCATCCGGTTACGCTTTGAGAAGCAGCCCTCGGAGGAGGAGGAGTGGGCCATGCCCGCCAGCCCGCCCAGCCCTGAGGCGGGCACCATCCGCTGCGCCTCCTTTTGTGCCGGCTTCCCCATCCCGGAGTCGCCGGCCGCCGCAGCCTATGCCCACGCAGAGCACGCGCAGTCCTGGCCATCCATCAACGTGAGTGGGGCACACACCTGCGGCCCACACCTTGAGATGCAGGGCCAAGAGTCCCATCCTGTCCTGGGGACCCTGCCCTTCGGGTGTCAACATGCGAAATATTCACACCTGATAAGCAGAGGCCTGTTCCCTGGACCCCAGACTTAGTACAAGTCCCTTTACCTCCCTCTGCATAGCTTTTTGTTGGGGGAAATTGGGGCCTGCACCATTGAGACTTGTCTATTTTATTGCCGAAGTGAAGGGTATGGCCCTCAATCCCGGCTTTGATTTCAGTTTCACTATTTAATAGCTGTGGGAACTGTATAACTTTTCTCCTCTGATCCTCAATTTCCTCATCTGCCAAATGGGCAGTTAATATCTAATTACCTTAGAGAATTTGGGAGGCAGTGAGCCTAAGGTAGTCTGCATTGTGCCTGACTCAAGCAACCTCTCTTATTTTGGTACCTGTGGAGGGGGATACTGAAGGCTGTGGGTCTGGGGCCATCACAGGGACAGGACTTCCCTCCCTCAGGCCTCAGAGCCCCTGCTGTTTTCTGTCTGCCCTAGAAGACAGCTAGCTGCACCTCAGGGATTCATCATTTTACTGAAATAATGAGTTTCCTGAATGTCAGAGCTACCTTTGCCACCTAGAAGGACCAAAATATATTCCAAAGCCAGTCAGAAAATTATCTTGGGGTTGAACATTGTTTGGGATTATCCATTGCTTTGAGTTATCCAGAAGCTGTGTCTTAGTCACCCCAGGCACCTGTCTGGGTGTTGACATTCCTCATTACTACAGATGCCCTGGCAAGCTGAGCAATGACTGTCCTATACACACCTCCTGGGGAACCTATGTCCTGGGATAGGGGAGGAGATGCTGAACTGGTTGGGGGTGTTGCTGGGGAAAAGGTGTCCAGACCCCTGCAGAATGCTGTAGCCCTCCCTGCCTTAGATCCTGGGAAAGGGCAGACTGGGATTTGGGGACCATGGGTGGGGACTGGGGTCCATAAGTGACTCCCTTTTCTCCCCACAGCTGCTGATGGAGACAGTGGGCTCCGACATCCGCAGTTGCCCCCTCTGCCAGCTGGGTTTCCCTGTCGGATACCCGGATGATGCCCTCATCAAACACATTGACTCCCACCTGGAGAACAGCAAGATCTAGGGCGCCTCCTCCCAACTGGCTGTTTCTCTGTCCTCTCCTGTCACTCCTGAACACTCACTTTGAATGCTGCATGAATCTCGTGGGGCGGGGGGTGGGGCCTGCCCCTTACGATCCCCAGATACCTCCACTAGCTACCGAGTTAATGTGTGTGCCGTCTTCCCTGGTCCAGGCACCACTCAGCTCTGGCTCTTCCCAGGAGGTCAGCAGAGGCTCCCTCCATCTTCCCAGTTTCTGCTGGGGAGATGGGATCTGGGCTGGGATGGGCAGGGGTGTACCTTCTGGCCTTTTCTGCCTTTCTGTTCTTAAACAGGGTTGGATCCAAGAAGGTGTCTAGTAGCTGGGCCTAGGCGAGGGGGAAGGTGTTGGATGACTCCAGGATCTACCTGAGCTCCTCCCCCACACCCATCTTTCCTAGGCACTGTACTACGCCCCTGTAGGGTCCCAGAGCCTGCTCTGACACTGATGCCAGTTCCTCCATCCCATGACCATCTTGAGGCTCCTGTTGTTGGGGGAAAGAGGCATCTTGTTTCTTGTCATTCCCAGCAGGCCAGCCCTGTCTTCCCCCTCTGCCCACCCTGGGGAACAGGGAGGGTGGGAGAGGAGAGGGAGGCCCCTGAACTGCTGGAAGAAGCCAGCCCAAAGAGGGTACCCTGAGACTGAGGGTCTTGTGTCATCACCTTCAGGCTAAGGGACCGTTTGCCAGCTCCTGGGCCCATGCCCTCCTTCTGGAGCCCTGACACTTAGGCCCAGATCGTAGCGGCAGATTCTCCTCTTCACCTTTTCCCTCACTGGAGCCCCGACACCATAGATGCCCTGGGGCCCAGGTGTGACTCAGCCTCTGTTTGGTGGGTGTCATCAGTGCCTGCTTCCCAGGCCAGAACCCGCAAATGGGCCCAGGGTGCTGTGGAGATCAACTTCAAAGAGCTAACCCCCTTCCCACACCCCACCGACCCACATTCCCTCTGTGAAATCTACCTCAGAGTCATACCCTCAGAAGGATGGGTAAGCAGGAGGCCAGGGGCCCCAGAGCTGAGGTGGGGAGCCTCTTGCAGAGGGAGCCTGCTGCCCACAATGAATCCACCCCTCCACTGCGGGCCTCCCCAGGCCTCAGCCCTGGGCAGGTGCAGCGGATGCTATTGTCAGCGCATGTACCGTTCTGATCCAAATCTTCCAGGTCCCCCACCTCCTCACACTCCTCCCCTCCTTAGTGTAGGGGAGTGAAGGGGTGTGCTGGGCCGGGAAGGGGCCAAGGACTCCAGAGACACATGTCATTGTACCCTGAGTGTTCCCCAGAGAGGGGACATGGGGAAGGGGGCCTGGAGTATGGAGGGGGGCCCTGTGCTCTCTGAACAAGTTGAAAGTTCGAATAAAACTTAACCTGTTACATCTGCCCCCGGGCTGTGCCTCCTCTATGCTGGGGCAGGGCCACAGTGCCTAATAGGAGGAGGTCTTAGAAACTGTCTCAGGGAACCACAGCCATGAGAGGGTGGGCACTGGCAAGTAGGGGACAGGACATGGGACACCCACATTGAGAGTGATTCTGGAGCTGCTGACATGCAAGTGGTCACAAGTGGCTTGAGGAGTTCATTTAGAACATAGATAAGCCTCCAGCCAGCCCCAGGCAAGGGGCTCATGAACTTTTCCTCCCAGAGGATCTGGCCAGTAGAGAGCCTCTAAAGCCCCGAGGGCATCTGGGATGTAGGGAAGTGGTAGAGCACTTGCCTGGAACGCAGGAGGCCCTGAGTGCCATCCCAGCACCACAGAAATAATAATCTGTTTCTTCATCAAATGAATACTGCATTCCAGGAGCCAACAAGGGGCCTCACAGAAGAGCATTAGTGTTCTACGTCCTCACAGGTTAAAGACGGGAGGGGCCAGACTCCAACCTCCCTGCTGCCTCAGAAGTTCCACACCTGGGAGGTCAGAACTGGGTCATGAACTCATGACTTCTGCCCCAACTGGGGTTATGCCCTCTGCAAAAAAGGGGCTAAAGTACTTATTCTCAGCCCTGGCTGCCTTTCATTTCCTTTTTGGCCAAAGGTTCACTTAAAAAGGGACTGAGGGAAGGCTTGTGGAGGAGAGGGCTGGGAATGCAGCTCAGTGGTATGGTACTTGCCAGCATGTACAAGCCCCGGGTCCCATCCCCAGCAAGGTGTGCACACACAAACAAACACACACACACACACACACACACACACACATGGGCAGGCAGGGGGCATTGGCTGCTCATTGGCAGCCTGAGACTTCTCTCTAGACTCAGGGCAGATATCCCTCTCCATTCCATCCCAAGGTCCCGAGTGGCCTCCCCAACCTCTCTGTTGTAATAAACAACTATTGTCTGGAGCCAAGGCCTCAGTGCTAGTAAAGGTGGGGCCAGCTGATCCTGTGCGACTGGCTCATAGCCCTAGGAAAGAAGGCTCCGGAGCTTTTATTGCATGGTTGCTCAGTGCCCTCCACAGTCCCCACATCTCGCCCACCTGTCATGGAGGAAGGCAGCACCCAGGTTTCTGGATCTGGATCCGACAGATCTCTGGAAATGCTAGAGTGGTATGAAAGGATAAGAGGTGGTCTAGGGACATACAGGCAAAGGGAGATCCTGGTTCTTGAGAATGGCCAGGGAATGAGCTAGAACAGTAGCAAGAAGTGACCCAGGTAACCTCAGCACAGTGCCTGAAGGTGGGAGGGAACCCAGGTATCCCACAGCCTGGACAATTGATCTGTCACGAGGGTGAGGGGAGCGTGGGGACATAGAGTACAGATTCTGTCAGCTTGTCTCCTTAATTTCTAGAGACCTGGGAAAGGGCTCAGGTGCAGGGCAGAAAGCTGCTGGGGGCTGGGGCGGAAGGAGGGGAAGGGAGAAAGAGCCAGCATTTCCCCAGTCAGGTCCTCTAGCTGCAGCTCGCATCTAATGCCCCCAAAAGGAGAGGACTTCGGGGGAGGGAGAGCTGGGGAGGGGCTGGAGCAGGGAAGACACTCACCTTTCTCCCTCTTGTCTCGCACAGGACTGCCATCAGATAGGACACTTGCTGCTCTTGCTATTCATTGCTCTCAGGCTGGGAAGAGGGCACGAGGGATTGAGAAAACACAGGGGCAAAGGGTTGATCATCTCTGGGCTTCTGGACAGGGGAGGGGGGGGGCAATTTTTCCTTTAACCAGGTGGAGGAAAGACCTCTGTCAAGTCTGGAAAAGGCCCACCTGGGGAACCCACTCACTCCCCGCAGCATAGACCCCAAGCCAGATGTGACAGGGCTAGGGGAGATGACTTCACAGAGACCAAGCCATCCTCGGGCGTGAGTCCACATGCCAAATTAAAAGCCAGCTTTCCACATCCTCTCCATCCTGACCTTTCTCCCCCCAGGGTTTCTCGGCAGAACTACCAGGCCCCGGGACCCCTGCCCCGATCCTTGGCCCCATGCAAGCTGGGTCAGGTAAACAGCCAAGGAGGGCAGCACCTGTCAGAAGCTGGTGGTGTGTGCATGCGTACCACTGAATATGTGGAGGAGAAGCAGATCGCCAACAAAGGGAGGGGTGTGTGGGTGAGCCCTGTTAATGAGAAACACCTTACCTAGCTGATTAGGGCTGATGAAGAAAAGAGGGTGTGGGCATTACTCAGTGACTTCTTTATAAGGTAGGGGGAGCAGGACAGCTTCCCTAGTCCTGTATCTTCCTCAGCAAGGACACGAACTGAGCAGATTTGGCAACCACAAATTTGGAAGAATTGAGGTCAGACCCAAGGATGAACTATCAAGGGCAAGAGGGGTCGTTGCTGGGAGGAATGGGAAAAGGCATCTAGGGCAGAGGCCAGATAGTGGGGGGAGAAGTGTGAAACCCTCTAGCACCCTGCCTCTCTTCCTGCCCTTCCTCCACTTTCTCTACCGTGAGAGAAATTCTCAGCACCCCGGGAAGCTCCCCCTGGTTGCCTAAGTGCCTCTTGAGATCTGACCCCCATCTGCAGAGGCTGTGAGCCGTGCATTCAGCAGATTGGAGCCTGTACCCTGCCTATCAGCAGCCTGGGAGAGAAGGCTTGGCTATGAAGTCCCTGCTGGTCTGTGGCACTGGCATCAGATGCCATGTGACTATGTTCATGGCCCAGGGAGACCTGGCAGGGCTGAGGGCAGGAAGGGACTGGGTTGTAACTCAGCCCCCACCTACAGCTTCAGCAATCCTCCATGCCACTTGAGCAGAGGGCAGGGTCCCCAGGCGCATCGCATAGATGTTCCAGTTGGCTGTGTGAGTGTGGGCATGAGGGAGGGGGAGGGGCTGGGGGACAGGATGGGTGTCGGCCAGCACCTCCAACACCTCCTAATTTGCATTACCACTGACACCCTTCTTGACCAAGAAAATGGAGCCAGAAATAACAAGGGGGGAGGTGGTTCCCTTGGGGGGGGTTGACTTTGAGGCACTCTTTCCCTGCCTCCAACACTCCCACGGTACCAGGGGCAGGAGGTCACCCCACAGCTGGCTTGGTCAGGGGAAGTGCACCCACTGTTGCTCATCCACCCTCACATCAGGCAGACACCTCGTCCCGGCTTCTCACTGCCCTTGGCCCCAAACACCCCAGCGCTGCCCTTTTTCCTAAGCCCGCTTACCCCTGGCCTGATCTGAGGGCTCTCTCCTAGGGCCCCACTTGCAACTGTGATGACCAGTGCTGCCCAGCTGGGGACTCATCTCTGCCAATGTCCTATAGTCTGTATCCTGCCTTCCCCATCAGACTGGCCATTTCCCAAGGCCAGGGGCCAAACCTCCCTGGCCAGTCTGGGAGAAGCACTGAGGGACCATTCTCTGTGGGAAATAGCCCAGATAATAGCAGGACAACTTGGGGTTAGATTCTAGAAATCTCTAGAAATGGCATGAGGTAAATCAAAGTCTAGTGTGAGACCCTATGCCTGGGGATGCGTAGTGGGGGCCGAGAGGCCTGTTAGAGGCCTTTAGTCCTCCTGCACTTGGAGGAGCTCTCCAGATGCAGGGCCTCCCCCTCATGAGACCTTTGAGAAAAGGGTCAGGATTGTTAGTTAGATGGCCTTTCTTGTCATGTACTTATTGTGGTGCCAGGGATGGAACCCAGGGCCTCCTATGTGCTAGGTAAGCGCTCTACCATAGAGATGCATCCCCAGCCCCACTTCAACATTTATGCCCCTGCGACTACTGAATAGACCCTCATGACCATATCTGATGCTCAATTTATGTGCACTGAGTTGACTTCTGCCCCAAAGAGGGTAAGGAATATTATTACAGCCACAGCTGGGGGACAAGAGACGGCAGGAGGGTGGCTGTGGTAAGGAAGCGCTCTCTTTGGCAGAGGGGTCCTGGGACCTGGGAGGGTGAGGGGTGAGGGTGGAGGCAGAACCTGGCAGGGAAACCAGGTCGCGAGAGACAGCGGGGAGAGTTGTGAACGCACTGTGGGAAGGAGTGAACGATGAGCTGAGAACTTCCCCCACTCTCCCTCAAGAGATGCTATTTTGGGGGAGAGAATATATGCAGTGCAGGGCCAGGGTGCAGGGAGGACACCAGCTTCTACACGGGTCAGCCAGGCCACCCCCTGCCTTCGCTCTCTCAGCCATCTTCAGTGGTCCTGGAACCTTCCAGCACCTCCCTCCCCATTGAGAAAGTCTTCTTCCCTTGAGCATGAGAGTAGAAAGAATGAACCAGGAGATTTAGAGCTGGACTCTTAGCACTCTCTGGGGGGTCCCCGCAGCTTCAGACCAAGGGAGAAGTCTTGGAATAAAAATGTGGAGGGGTACTGTGGTGCAGGCACAGAGCACGTGCTGAGCATGTCCGCTCCCCAGCTCCATACTTAGGCATTAAACTCAGGGCCTGAATGGGTCCAGGGTGAGGCACTTCCAGGGCCACTGAGCTTGCCTCCAAAGGTCAGCTAAGGAGGCTGGATGGGGTTCACTATCAAGTGGAGCCCTTGCTTGGCACAAAGGGGAAATTCTTGCTCAGCCCTCTGGAGGCCCTGACTCATTTTGGGATGAAGGCTCCAATGCCCTGTGGGTTTCTGTGGTGGCCGGGTGCAGGGGGAGGACAGGACGTACAGATAGAGAGCATGCTGGGATAAGCAGAGACTTTTGTTTTCGTTTTTGGAGCTTGGCTGTGTCTCTGCTTGAGAATCCAGCTTTACCTGAAGATTGACTGGGGTCGGAAGAAGGTCCGACTCCCAGCTCATGAGCACAGCTGCAGGTAGAGGGAAACTTAGGTTAAAATTTAGGAAGAACTGCTGGGCGAGATGGTGCATGCCTATAATCCCACTGTCCGGGAGGCTGAGGCAGGAGGATCGTGAGTTCAAAGCCAGCCTCAGCAACTTGGTGAGGCCTTAAGGAGCTCAATCTCTTTGTGTTAAGGAATTCTGACTCTAAATAAAATATTAAAAAGGGCTGTGGCTGTGGTTCAG